AGCCATGGGGCGGAAAGACGAGCTTCAAGTCGTGTCGCTTCTCCTCGCAAAACCTCAGTCAGAAGCCGGTCCTGACCCTTGGAGATCCTTTGTTCGTCGTATCAGGTTTCAAGGATACACTGACTGTAAATTTACATTCCCGTCGGTCGGCAGCCCTTTTCCTGGCACTTTCCACCACTTAAACACCTTTTCCTTGTATTCAGCGATCCACGTTTCGGGACGAGGCCGGGAGTCTTCTCAGGTGGTCGAGCACGAAATAGAAAACGGGAGGGTGTGAACGAGACTACTTTCCCTTACAAACAAGGTGCGCTTATCTTCTCCTGTGAGAGAGTTGAAACAATGTGCAGTACAAAAGTCACCACAGCTCCGTTTGATAGATTGTTACATCAAGTATCTTAGTCTAGCTTACTGTTCTGCTCTCATACGGAATAGTAACTGGGAAGAGATTCTCGATTGGGCTTCTGTGTAGGGAAGAGAAATTCTGTGCCGATTTTGAAGAGGCGAGGAAATCTGCTGGGATGTTGTAGAGCATCAGAGAAGGCAAGAATCTTCTCATCACGTATGTACACTGTCATGTTATGCCACCATGGTTTCTTTGCCATTGTGGCATCCCGTAAGTCCTGTACGCTGAGTTGCAAGCACTGTGTACGGATAATTTAAAGATAGTTCAGACGGATTCCAGATACAGATTGTTCTTTAACACTCAAGCTTTTTAGCATACGTGGAAACGTCATAAGACCTCTGGTATATTCTTGTTGGAGAAGAGCCCCAGGCACTCACCATGCCTCTAATTGTGCAAGAACAGCTGGTCAGTTCTTTCCACAGAGGTCAGACAGTACCTGGACTCACTAGCATTCCAAAGATAGTCGTAAAGTAGTAAATACTTCTGTTAAACCTTTGAACGCGGAGGTCCTTTGACACTTGACCATAAAGGAGATGATCTGACACATTCCAAAACAGGCAAGGGGGGTCCTGGGCCTTTGGCTACGTCGCGGTGCCACGGTGAGAATAACATGACCTTGCTATACATGTGAGCATCAGCACTTTCTAACACTAGCTCGAGTCAGAATGGTTGCATTTGTACCATAAATTTGGGAAAGGGAAGAGATGCAAGACATCAGTGCCAGATTTCGTACTGTGACAGAAAGTCAAGGTAAGGCTTCTTGTGGTGTCAAAAAGTTTGAATCCGACTTCACGTACTGTATTGTCAGAAAGCAAGCTTGACAGGGGCTCTTTTTGATATATGGTTTATGCCATACACGAAACCAGTTTTAAGGTTTACACAGAGAGACGAAACTGAATGTCATGGCATTTTAGAAAGTGGGAAACTCCAAACAAATTCTGCATGAGTGAGCTGCACAGTCCATGGACGCTTTCGGGAATAAAGGACTGGCAGAGGAGTCGGATTGTTTCCGCAGAAATCATAGATGTGCAACAATAAAGGAGCAACGCACACACGAACACACAAACACACGCACATACACACCTTTATGCAACAGCAGATGCTTGTAAATTGACATGAGAGTATGAGTACCTTAGGAAGTTACGGATCAACGCAGGTGCATGTTAATATTTGCAGTAATGACTTCTTCTTGGGTGCAGGTGGCCCCAGAACATCGCTGTCTGGGCCACAAGTCGACGAGGGAGGCGCGAAGGCCCTGGAAGTGCAGTCCCTTTAACACACAAAGACACAGAGGCTCTCTCTACGGTTTCTGAAGCAAGGCCGAGGCGGCCGGGATTACAGGTGACTCGGATTTGGTTTCGCGTCAAAGATCACGTGAAGGGAGACTAGCGCATGGCCGACGCCTTCGACTTCTGCGAAACGGTAGAAACAGCCAGTACTTATGAATAATAGAGATATACGAAACACACACCGATGAACTTGACACTTATTCACAGTCTGACGAATTCACTTTGCATCAAACAATCTGAAAATATCATGTGGTGTAAGAAATCGCCGCAGACAGCGGCCGAATCATACAACAACGAACACGTTTTAGTCCAAAAAACACCAAAACTCACCAAGACATTGTCAGCTCATGGTGCCTGGGGGAGTAGGGCACTGCAATGACGAATGCTCGCCACTTCATATATATATATATATATATATATATATATATATATATATATATATATATATATATATATATATATTATATATATATATATATATATATATATATGTATGTGTATATATGTATGTATATTTATATATATGTATATATGTATATATATATATATATATATATATATTATATATATATATATATATATATATATATATATATATATATATGTACACATAAAATGATAAAAAATCTTTATCAGGAATGCTTTAACAACACAAGTGACTTTCGAGCGAGAAGGCATACAGTAACAACCTTTCAACGTGTACATTTCTTAGAGGAATGCCTGACGGGAGATATAAAGGCAAGCACAGGTGAATTCAGGTGAAATCCAGGTGCAGGGAGTGGCCCGGACTTGGGGGGGGGGGGGGTCTCAGTGCTTGGATCAGGCCTCGTATGTACAGAGGACCGGGCGTGGGGAGGGCGAGGGCGGGGAAGCGCCAGGGAACACGAGAGCGAAAAATAAGGACAATAATGACAATTGAACATCGACAGAGAGAGAGAGAGAGAGAGAGAGAGAGAGAGAGAGAGAGAGAGAGAGAGAGAGAGAGAGAGAGAGAGAGAGAGAGAGAGAGAGAGAGAGAGAGAGAGAGAAAGAGAGAGAGAAAGAGAGAGAGAGAGAGGGTGGGGGGGCAGCGAGCAAGAACCACGTGGAAGGTGAACTCACGATTCGGAAAGCATTATGAAGCAGAGGTGTCAGTGTCATGAAACACTGATTCATGAAGCAGTCACACGGCGTCGAAATCATAATGCAGTTATGAGTCATTCGAGTCATGAGTTGTCGAAGTCATGAAGACGTCATGAGGCACCAGAGTCCTGAAGGAATCATGAGTGGAAACCTTGAAGGAGTCATAGGATATCAGTCATGAAGCAGTCATGAGGCCTGGACATAGAGCCACGAAAGTCATCAACGTCAGTGGGTAGACATGGGGTGCAATACCCATGAAGCAGTCATGAGGCTGTCATGAAGTAGTTGTAAAGTGTCTGAGTCATGAAGCTGGCTTAAAGTAGCCATCATAGAGTCATAGAGCAATGAGTCATGATGCAACAGTCAAGAGGGATCAAATTCATGAAGCAGTCATGAGGCTTTGAAGTCACAGGACTGTCATGGAGTCATAGTGCTGTCCTGAGGCACCCAAGTCAGAGAGCAGTCATGAGGCGAAGTCACCGCGTCGGAGTCATAAAGCAATCTTGAGGCGCTGAAGCCATAGGGCGTGGAAGTCAAGAAGCAGCCCTGAGCCCCTGAAGCCCCAAGGCTGTCCTGCAGCGGCCGCGAGGCGCCGCGCCCTCTGCCTCCCCAGCCGAAGGCCTTCTCCGAGAGTGACCTTTTCCCCCGGAGGCGCGCGGGAAGCCCCTCCCTCGGGCGGGGCTGACGAGGCGGCCTCCAAGGGCGTCGGGTCGGGGCAGCGTTGAACGAAACCTAGGTTGTTCCTACCGCACGAAACGAAATCTCGAACTGCATGGTGTGGTGGGCGCGGCGGGCGGGCGGGCGGGCGGGCAGGGGGCGGAAAGGGTTGTGCGGGCGCCCTGCGGAGTGGGCTGCGGGGGGCATGGCCGTCTCCTACTCCTGCTTCTTCTTCATTCACTTCCTTCCTCTCCTCCTCCTCCTCCAGTTCCTGCTCCTCCTGCTCTTTCTTCTTCTCCTTGTCCTCCTCCTCCTCCCCCTCCCCCTCCCCGCCCCGCCCCGCCCGCGCGCGCGCCCGGAGGCTCGGGGAAGCACTATCCTTTGGTCCCATACCAACGCTCTGTTTCCGACGAACAGCGCGACTTGGACTCCGTGGCTGCGAGACACAGATCACTCGACACAAAGACACGACGAACACCCACGGACACAGACGGACGACGAGCACAAAGAGAGACGGAGAGGAACGGAAACCAAACGCGGGGGACGAAACGAGGGAGAGGAATAATGAGAAATAATGAAGAATTACATGATAAGGATTAAATGAAAATCGAGTAGTGCAATGACCGCGGCCTTGAACCGCCCACACCGCTCGGCGAGGCGCGGGCGGAGGGCGCCTGGCACTCGCCTTCTGCGGGGCGGGCGGCGCCAAGGCCGACGCGGCGGCTTCGGGAACCAAAAGGACTTGGCTGGGTGTGGTGTGTGTGTGTGTGTATGTGTGTGTGTGTGTGTGGTGTGTGTGTGTGTGTGTGTATGTGGGCGTGTGTGTGTGTGTGGGCGTGTGTATGTGGTGTGTCTGTGTGTGTGCCGTGTGTGTGTGTTATGTGTATGTGGGCGTGTGTGCGTGTTCTGTTTGTTTAGGTTTGGCTTTGGTGTTTGTTCGTTTGAATGTATGTGCGTGGTTGATTGTTTGCGTTTGTTACACACACACATATATGCATATATTATATATATATATATATATATATATATATATATATATATATATATATATATATATATATATGTGTGTGTGTGTGTGTGTGTGTGTGTGTGTGTGTGTGTGTGTGTGTGTGTGTGTGTGTGTGTGTGTGTGTGTGTGTGTGTGTGTGTGTGTGTGTGTGTGTGTGTGTGTGTGTGTGTGTGTGTGTGTGTGTGTGTGTGTGCGTGCGTGCATGCGCGTAAGCATAAATGCACAAAACGTAAGACTCGAAATGTCTGAAAGAAAGTTCCTTCCAAGGCAATTCCTGCAACAGAACCTCGAACAGATTGCAACAGGAACAGCGAAGGGAAGGACAAGGAAACGCGAATATGCCGAGGGCCTTTTCGCGTGTTTTCTCGCCCTTCCCTTCGTTGCACCTTGCGAAATGTGTGGAATTCAAGACGAACAGATTGCAACAGGAACAGCGAAGGGAAGGACAAGAAAACACACGAATAAGCCGTAGGCCTTTTCGCGTGTTTTCTCGCCCTTCCCTTCGTTGCACCTTGCGAAATCAACGGCCAAAAGGTCAACGCAACGCCTTTCAAAAGACCAATAACACCGATGCGCTTCGGGAGGAGACTCTTGCAACATGGCAGGTGTGCAGCGTGCAACCCTCCTGGCGAAGGCGATGCAACGTGGGGGGGGGGGGGGGTGTCCGTGCGGGGAGCGAGACGGGCGGCCCTTTCCTGCGGGCGTGGGCGGGTGCTGGCGTGCTTGCTTCCGCGGCGGCAAAGTCTCTGCCTTCGAAAGCGATTTACCGTTCAGTGACCTCGGATTGAGTGGACAAAAGATTCTCTGTTTACATCAAACGTCTTATTAACAATGTTTTCCGTCCTTTTCATTATCATCATCATCATTAATATTACTATTATTATTAACATTATCATCATCATTAAAAACTATTCAAATACATCTATTACTTTTGATGAAAACGGAACAGAGACCCAGTGGAGCGGCCGCCCTCCGCCGGCGCCAGGCCCCCCCGGCGCGCCAGCAGGGGCGAGCGACCAGACGGACTCCTTCTCCCGCTGCCGAGGCGCTTGTGGCACGCGGCGGCACGCATGCCCGAAGGCACTGCTTTCCCTCGAGGCCCACCTGGAGAGGCCCTGCCTGCAGCGCCAGCGAGAAGCAAGCAGGCCGCTTCCTAATTCCGTGGCCCTCCCGCTTCCGCGTCCGGGCAGCCCTGCGGCCGCGTCGCCACGCCCCCCGCACGGCCGGCGCCACCGCGGACGCCCTAGCGGAAGGGGTTGTTGGGGTTGGGCGAGACGTACACTTGCGAGTCCTGCGGCGCCTCCGGCTGCGGCGGCTGCTGGTATGCGCCGCCCTGGCTGCCGGGCGAGACGAGGTTCTCCGTCGGTGCCGCCTGCGAGGCCGAGGGCGAGAGGGCGTCGGCGGCGGCGGGCGCGGGCTGGCGCATCTGGCTGGGCAGCACGTGCACCTCGATGTCGCCGTCCTCGCCCGTGCCCACCGTGCTCTTCTTGATGCCGTAGTAGAAGTAGATGATGAAGCCTGCGGGAGAGAGGGCGGTGAGGCGGGGCAAGGGAGCGGTGGAGGGCGGCTCCGGGCCTTCCGGAAAGGCCCTTTGCACACAGAGGGTCAAGGGGAAGGCTCGACGTCTAGAGAGCGATTGGGGTCGCTCTCCCTCCTACGGGAAATTCATGACATTTTGCAAGTGCAGGACGCTCGCAAGCAACATTCTCGCTCTCTAAAGCTCTGCATGACATGAACTCTTCCTTCCTGACCTCTCCTCTCTCTCTCTCTCTCTCTCTCTCTCTCTCTCTCTCTCTCTCTCTCTCTCTCTCTCTCTCTCTCTCTCTCTCTCTCTCTCTCTCTCTCCTTCCCCCTTCCTTTCCTTCCTTCATCTCCTTCCCTCCCCTCTCCCTTCCTCCCATCCCTCTTCCCTTTCCTTTCCTCCTTCCCTCCTTTCTTTCCTTCCATTCCCTCCCACTCCCTCTCTTTCCTTCCACACTCTCTCCTTTTCCTCCTTCCTCCTCCTTCCCTTCCTCCATTCCTTCCCCTCCCCCTTTCCATTCATTCCTTCCCATCCCCCCTTTCCCTCCTTTCCCTCCTTCCCCCTTCCTTCCTCCTTCCTTCCCTTCCCCTTCCTCCTTCTCCCCTCCCTTCCATTCCTTCCCTTCCCTCCTCCCTCCCTCCCTTCCCTCCCTCCCTCCCTCATCCCTCACTCACCAATGGTCATCCAGAGAACGAAGCGGATCAGAGTCAGGATGGACAGCTTGAAGATGAGATAGATGTTGATAGTGATGGCGATGGCGGGCACCCAGGGAAGACCCGGTGCCAGGAAGGCCAGCGACCGCCTGTGGGAGAGGGGGGGGAGGTTGGTTAGATGGCCTGGTAGAGGGGGAGGGGGTCAGAGGGTATTAGAGGGGAAAGGGGAGGGGTTCAGAGGGGTATTAGAGGGGAAAGGGAGGGGTTCAGAGGGGTTCAGAGGGGTATTAGATGGGGAAGGGGGGGGGAAGGGAGAGGAGGAGAGGGTTCACTGGAGGGAGAGGAAGGGAAATGGTTGGCTAAAGGGACCTCCTGGAAGAGACGAGGGGTGGGGGGAGAAGTGAAAAGGGAAGGGAAGAGAAGGGGAAGGGAGTGGAAGGATAGGGGGGGGGAGAAGGGAAAACTGAAGGGCAAGGAGTGGGAGGAGGGAGAAAGGGAAGAAGAGGGGGGGGAAAGGGAAAGAAGTAGAAGGCGAGGCGGGAGGGAGAAAGGGAAAGGGAAGAAGAGGGGGAGGAGGAAAGGGAAGAAGTGGAAGGCGAGGGGGGAGGGAGAAAGGGAAAGGTAAGGGGAAGGAAGGGGAAGGGAAGGGGAAGGGAGAGGGAAGAGGAAGGAAAAGAGAAGGATAGAAAGGGCTGGGTAGGGTCTGGTCTGGCAAGTAATCAGACGAAAATATCAAATATTCCTATTTTTGCAATATTAGCTCAGACTAAATAACGCCATGCTCTTCACATATCTCATATTATCATTAATTTCTATCATACGAATTCTTAACCAGTCTATGGTCAATACCACAGAACTCAGCACCTGCAGTTCCCTACAAAGAGTGTATATCTATTTATATATACATGCACTGAACACACACACACACACGCACACACACACACACACACACACACACACACACACAGCTTGAAGCCTTCATCATGCATGTAAACAATTCGCTTTCTCTCCCAAGACAGTCCCTCCTCAGCGCCCACCTGTTCTGCGGCTTCCGGGAGATGCGCAGCAGGATGTAGATGATGCTGAGGAAGAAGATGATGCAGAAGAAGGACGTGACGGGCGAGTGTCCCTCGAGCTGGCTCAGGTCGCGCACAAGGATGGAGTCCAGGATGAGGACGTTCAGGTACAAGAGTCCTGCGGGAAGGGGGCGTGGTCAGCGAGGTCGTGGAGGGCGAAGAGGGAAGAGAGTGCACGGCCAGTAAACGAAATCATGAGCAAAAATGACGAAAAAAAAGAAAAAACAGAAAGAAGTAACCTAAAGACAGTAAACAATATATCCTGATTTCATGGACTTCATCTTAAAGAAGGTACGTCGAAAAGGAGTCAACTCTGATGACTGAATTATATACTACATGAGAATAATACAGTATTCGACGGTTTATTTATTCAGTTCCCTGCCTTTCTTTTCAGTTATCCTTCTAGATTCTGGAATATCCTCAAGGCTATGTCCACTAATGCACTAACATTACCTTCCAGGCTATTTACCATTACCTTCCAGGCTATTTACCATTACCTTCCAGGGTATTTATACAACATAATGCATTAAGATTATTCTCTAGACTGCATTCCCTACATTCTCAACTTCGTCAGACAAACACCATTCTCAAGAACATCCTGTCAGCTTAGTCACCAGCCTGACTACACTCTCAAGCTCGTTACTCTACACATACTGACAGCCTGCTGATCTCAGGAAAGAAAACACTGGCAACTCATTCTAGTCTCTTTAAAAAAAAAAAAAAAAAAAAAAAAAAAAAAAAAAAGTGGGGTTTAAACATGTTTTGTATTTTCAAAAGTTATGAGAAACATTATCAGGGCCATTTTTATTTTCTCATTATTATAATTTTGTTTTATCTATTTATTTTTTATTTGTTTGATTATTTTATTTTTACTTTTCATTTTTCATTTTTTGCATAAGAAACCTGACGAATCGGAGTGCTCCAGAGTCCGGGTGAGTTGCCAGTTTTTGTTTTTTTTTCCTGAGATTTGGCGGACTGAACACGAGGAGTCCGCAGACTACACGGCAGAGATGCTGGGGCGGCGCGGGGGGGGGGGGGGACTCACCGACGAGCTTCATGACCTGGCGGCCCGTCTCCTCCGTGCAGGGGCCCTCCTCCACCCACGGGAACAGCGACGGGAACATCACCTGCACCATCTCCACGTACCTGAGGGCGGGGCACGAGATTCATTTGGGGGCAGAGTTCGGACGGTGTGAATCCTCCTGAGGGAATTTTGGACATGCTTGGTCGGGTTACGAAACTGAGTCAAGATATCCGACCAAAAAGTTCCGCCAAAAACAGGTATGACAAGATTTTTTCCAAGGAATCTTGAAATATCTTGCCGTCAAAAAAGTGCCCTGTAGAAATGTGATTATTATATTAAATGTGATTCAGTTGATGTGTATCATCTATGCCCATGTTAATGTAACTTGTTTTACTTGCAAGCCCTTTATGCTAATATACTGTTTTAGAGTCACGGTCCCTCAGACATTCCACGCAGACGCCAACCCCCTCAGCCAATCAGAGAGACAGCTGATCCCGAGGAGACTGCAGGTTGCCTTGTTATGTCCTGGCGCCTGTGCTTTCGTACTTTGGCGTGTGTGGTGTTTAGCCTCAAGAAAGCTTACTCTTTTATGTGAGTTTAATGAACCTACGGACAAAAGAACTCAGGAGACGCCTTATGAGGGATTTAGGTACAAGTCGCTGTTACCCAATAGTTGGGTTTGGATCAGCTGTTCACATGTATGCTTGAAAGAGGACCAACTGAAATTGTGTTCATTGGGTTGTTTCAAAAGGGATACCAGCCTAAAATCTGTTGGCTGGACAACGGAAATCGGGACATCAATCCAAAATGTGTGGGTTGGGATTTTGAAGCTGCTGGATCCGTAAATAATATACACCTTTTCACCACGTTGCGTTTCATGTTAGATCAGTCGCTCAAATTCTATTGCATTATAGAATAATAACTCTTTAAAGAGCATATACACGAGGCCAGAGGAGAGGCGTGGCTCAGGACCTTAAAGAGAGTGTTAGACCTGGGTTCAAAGGGGTTTGGGAAGCCTAGGCGCTTATCAGTGCTTATCTTAATACACTATAAAGCAATATTTTATTACCAATAAGTAAATAAAACATACAAATATATTTTTTAAAAGAATAAGTAAATAAAACTTATACAAAGTTTAACATCAGAGTTCTTCCCTTAGCCCGAAAACATGTGGTTCGAAAAGTCAAAAATTGAGTAGCCATTTTCAGGGGTGGGTAGGGGGGGGGTTCGGAGGTTCGATAAAGGGGTTAAGAGGTCACAAGATGAAGGGTTGTAGAAGTTGTAGGATGAGAGACGCTGGCCTTTATAGCTTGACCTCAGAAGGCCTATTATTTTATTCATCTTAAATTCTATTTTTTGTTATTACTATTTTTATTATCATTATCACTTTTTCTATCAGCTTAATAATCATTATTATCATTATCATTATTATTACTACTCTCATTTTATCATTATTTTGTTTTTTGTTAGTAGTGATATTATCATTATTACCGTTGTTATTCTTATCATTATCATAATCATCATCATTATTATTATATTATTATTACTGCTACCTCATTCATTGTTATTGTATCATTATCATGATTATCATCATTATTATAATTGTATTACTATTATCATATTATTATATGATCATTACCGTTACTATTATTTCATCATTATTATTATTATTTTTTATTCCATTATTATTATTATATTATTATCATTATATTTATTTTATTATTATTATTACTACTTTGTTATTATCATTATTAGCAACAGTATTACTATTATTGTCATCATTATCATTATTATCAGTTATTATTATTATTATTATTATTATCATTATTATTGATATTCTCCTCATTATTATCCTTATCACACATCAGACCCGGCCAGGACTCCGCCCCCCCACCGGCGGAGGTCTGCACTTCCGGTCCACCGCCGAAATAGGAGTCCGAAGCCAAGGTCAATATAAGTACTTATAATAGACCTTGTCCGAAACGTCTCTGAACATGAGTGAAGGTGCGAGGTTCCTCTCCTTCCTCTGACATCTCGTTAAGGCCCTCAGAAGGATTTATCTCCTGACATCGGACACCGGCTCCTGTCACGTGATCTTGGACTAGGGTGGCGCTAGTCCAAGATTACGTGACAAGTCCGATAGATACGTGTAGTCCTAGTAGGGTTTCGGACTACATGTCGGTATAGATAGGATCAGCTCTTGGTTGGATTTCATATTCCTGGAATTACCTTCCCATGCTGCACAATTGTCATGGCACGCGTCTGTCATATGCCTCTCTTTTCATATCCCCTGCTATGCACCTCGATTTTTATGTCATACACTTGGCATACGACTCACTCCTTATGTCACAAACCTTTCATACGACCCTCTCCTTATGTCCTAAATTAATTATGGCACACGCCTGTCATGTGACACTCCTTGTGACACCCAATTCACTTCTTATGCCCCCAGATTAATGACACACAAGCCATACGACTCACTTCTTATGTCATCCAGCTGTCAAATCACACTCCTGGCATACTACTCGCGCCCACAGCACCACTTTTTATGCCACTGTCACAGCACCACTTTTTATGCCACCCGCCTGTCACACCACCACTTTTTATGCCATCCGCTTTTTTTATGCCACCCGCCTGTCACACCACCCACTTTTTATGCCACCCGCCTGTCAAATCACACCTGTCACACCACCCACAGTGCGCTTCCCTCCCAGACCCCCCCCCCCATCGTACACTCCATGCCCCTCCATACCCCACCGTGCCCCTCCCTCCTATACCCACTGTGACCCTCCCTCATACCCAACCATGCCCCCTCCCTCCATACCCAACCATGATCCCTCCCCATACCCCACCGTGCCCCTCCCCCCCATACCCCATGCCCCCTCCACCCTCACCCGCATGCTCCCTCCTCCCTCCACCCCCGTGACACCCCATGCCCCTCCATACCCCACCGTGTCCCTCCCCTCCACCCCCATACCCCCTCCTCTCTCCACCCCTCATGCCCCTCCCCTCCCCTCCACCCCCATGCCCCCTCCACCCCCGTGCCCCCTCCCCCCTCCATACCCAACCATGCCCCCTTCCCTCCATCTCCCATGCCCCCCCTCCCCCCATACCCAACCATACCCCCTCCCCTTCCCCTCCACCCCATACCTCCTCCCCCCATACCCCCTCCCCTTCCCCTGCACCCCCCTTGCCCCTCCATCCCCATGCCCCCCCCCCCCAAATGCCCCTTCCGAGCCCCTTTACTGACCTGTCGTACCACTTGGCCTGCCCGGCGGACGTGGGCACGGCGCCGTAGTACTTGTTCTCGCACTTGTCGCTCACCATGTAGTCGTCCTCCCGGCGGGACGACTCGGCGCTGTTCTCCTCCGTGTTGCCGGTGTCGTCCGAGTCCGGGGACGACCTCATCACGCGCTGGGGAGGAGAGGGAGGGAGGGGGTTAGAGGGGGAGGGAGAATGGGGGAGAATAGGGAGGGAATATGGGAGGGGGTTAGAGGGGAGAGAATAGGGGAGGGAAGGAGGGAGGGAGGGAGGGGTTTAGAGAGGGAGGGAGAAATATTTACGAGTATATATATATATATATATATATATATATATATATATATATATATATATATATATATATATATATAAATAAGAGAGATAGATAGATAGATAGAGGGAGAGAAAAAGAGTGAGAGATAGATAGATCGAGAGAGAGAGAGAGAGAGAGAGAGAGAGAAAGAGAGAGAGAGAGAGAGAGAGAAGAGAGAGAGAGAGAGAGAGAGAGAGAGAGAGAGAAGAGAGAGAAGAGAGAGAGAATAATAATTGTTATAGGCTCATTTGCCAAAACATTTTACGAAAAGGAGAAAAGAAAAAATAGAAAATCTCAAGGAAAGGGTTCTCACTTCCCTCCGAGTCCTATGGAAGGCTACTGCATTATTTTCACCCTTATGTCTCTCGACTTTTTATTGTCTCTTCACGTTCATATTTCACCGTATGACATGTAGTATAAATGGAGATATAAAAAGAAACTCATTAATTATATTTTCATTTTATTCTCATTCGGTTCAGCTTATTTCTGTCCTCGTCTCCACGG